ACATACGCGCGCTCATTCGTCACTTTAATTTTGATTTACTGTAAAACATTTGTCGCAAGCATTTTGCTAAAGGAAAAAAGTTAGTTTACTTTTTAGTCATAAAGAAATCACGTAGTGTACTGCAAATGCGAGAGTTTTTGAGATATCCTGTGTATGTATATATGTATATGTATGTATATATATATAGATAGATAGATAGATAGATAGATAGATAGATAGATAGATAGATAGATAGATAGATAGATAGATAGATAGATAGATACATAGATAGATAGATAGATAGATAGATTGATAGATAGATAGATATATAGATACATAGATAGATAGATAGATAGATAGATAGATAGATAGATAGATAGATAGATACATACATACATATATAAATATATAGATAGATAGATAGATAGATAGATAGATAGATAGATAGATAGATAGATAGATATATATATATAGATACATAGATACATGCATACATAGCACATACACACGCACACAGACACATCACACGCACACGCCACATAACACGCATACAATATTATCGCTCCTCTCTGCTCTATTTTGGGACAACAAATTTATCAATGCTTACTAAAATGATATTGAATATCACAAGCACGAAACCGTAATACTTTCTTGTTCTTGTTAAAAAAATTCTTGTATACACATTGGCCGCCAAAAAGCCAGATATCAGAATCGTCTGTAATTGTACCGTCAGTTAGTTTAATTTGTTCCAAATATGCACACTGTGCTTCCGCTTCCATGGGAGCTACTATGTATGGAATACCAAATAAACGTAACAGTTCCTATAAACAAATATATAGCATATATAAGCAACGATGATACAACATATATTCCTATATTCCTTACATCCTATACCTGTGCATCAGTTCTTATTTGATCGGAAATGTTGATAGCTTGTCTCTCGAGTTTACCAATGTCTTTTGTGAGTTCTTCTTGTTCATTTTCTAATTGTTCCTGTAATTAAAATATATTTAAGTATTGAATAATCAATACAAAATATGATTAAAAAATGAAACAATTATCTATCTATTTATGAGAATGTTTCAACTGTACCTTCAGTTCTCTCAAATCTTTTGTATTTGTAGGCAATACTGCTGGTTTCTCTCGCTTACATTCATCAAGAGATTCGATTTGAGTAAGTATATTACCTTGCTCCATTAATTTTTGGATATTCTGGATATCGTATATTTCATTCTCATCATTCGATACATTTTCGCTTAACAAAACATTTTCTGGCAACTGGAATTTTTTTCTTTATCGATTGATTCTTCAGATTTAATTTCCAACAAACTATTTTTTAAATTATTATTATTTTCAGAAATAAATTGTATTTGATGTTCATCATTATTCATCGTATCGATAGACTGAACTTGTTTCAAATTTGATGCCACGTCCTCTTTATTTACTTTCTCAAATATGTCAGCAAATATATCGTCTTCAAGTTTCTCATCAGATTTGAAAGTTATCTCAATGTCTTTTTTCATTGTAATAACATTCTTTAAAACATTTATATCATGTATCGGAACATCTTTAATCTCTATGAAATCATCGGAATCGGTATCTGACATATCCATTTGCGTTATATCATTAGATTTTGCGATAGAAGAACACTCTTTAAACATTATTTTTCCGTTTGAAGTTGAGACATCAGCTACAATGGTAGCATTTAATGTCTTGGTATTACTTTTTAATGAGTTCATTTTAATTTGATTTTGATTATCCGATTCTGAATTAGACGAAATTAAATCATCAACTGTATCTTCTTTGATTGCGCATATATCTTTTATATTGTGTGATTCTACAGATTTCAAAACTTGTTCGCAATTTTCAGAAAGTGTCAACACCGATTTATCATCCATTGGTTGTTTGACTTTTGCTAATTCTATGCAAATGTCTTTTGCGACTGTTTTTGTGCTTTCATTTGCAGTCTTATTTTCATTCTTATTACATTTTATAAGATGCATAATCTGATTCTGGGACAAATCGCTATATTCCAACATATATCTTAATGCAGGATTCATAGTGTTTTTACCTATTAAAGCCAATGATTCGTTTATATCATTCTCAGATTCCCAATCACTGTCGAATGTGTATTCATTTATGTTTTCTGCGATAGGAAGAGAATCAGCGTGCATTGATACACTATCCTCATCAGAACTTTCGTATTCATTAATGTTTTCTATTATTGGCATGAGATTACTCGGACCAGCAACAGGTTCGATCTCTTCATTTTGTAATAAATTTTTATCCACCTTCAATTTGCTTGCAATGGATCGTTGCGCTAATGCATTCTTGTCTATATAAAATGATAAAAGTAATTATTAAATACATTACGATACATGATACACTATGAAATAATTTTAATAATTAAGATTTTAATATTTAGCGCACCACTGATATAAATCAATCTGGTTGTATTATCCGCAGCTATTCGAAAAGCTGTGTCTCTGTCTTTGGTATCGATGCCTTGTTCAGTCAGTAGTTTGTCCAACTCCTCCAATGTCAGTGTCTTTCCACCCATTTCCTTCTCAGCAGATTCTAAAGACGCTTGCACATGTCTACGTTTAAGCAAACGTTTCAATTGGAAACTTGAAAATTCTTGTGATTCCTATAATCAAAAGTATAATGGTATAATAAAATACAATATGTAACTTATCGCGCACTATATATAAGTTTATATATTTGTACATACTTGAGGCATTTCATGTAAACGACCCCAAGAATTTTGTTTTCTCGTTTCTTTCAGATCAGTGAGTATATCGTAACGAACATCTGCAGGCAATGCTTTAAATTCACCGCTGGTTACATCAACGTTATGTATGTTTCCTGTCCATTTGGATTGCTTCCGTGGACTCAATTCAATAAGAGTGTCAGAATCGTATTCGTCATCATCATTACAACTCTGCATATTTGCACTAGACATATCCGGTAAAACAAACATATCTTCCTCCAAACGTTTAGTTTGCATATTTATCGTTATTTGTGTTGCCTCACTATTTTGGTCCTTGAAATCTTTATTAAGAACAGTTTTTACAACGTTGTGTTTTATCAAGTTGTTTATCAAGTCTGCCTTCATTTTTTGCGCTTTACTCATAGCACGAGATTTCTGCTTCCTGCGCAAGGCCTGCGAACACAAAAGAATGAGGAGACTCTTTTCTCACTACCTGGTTCCCACGGTAAGCTAATTACGTACGAACAATATTATAATCAAGATGGAAGAACAGTTTAGTTAGTGTATATAAATGCATGATGTACAAGTTTAAAGTTTCATGCAATATATCATATCTTCTTTGCATTAAATGCATGATTATTAATCATTTGTTATAAAAAATATAATTTATCCTATACTTACAATTGTGTTTTTCTTGAGTATAGGTATACCTCCATCAAAGACAAAAATAGGCTTGATTTTATAATATAGGAGTTTACATATTCTAATAAATAAACCAAGCAAATGGGCATTGGGTCTGGGAACGCCGTGGCGATCCTGATATCCTTGTAACACTTGGTATATCCATATTGATACATCTATAAAATACA